CTTTTGAAAGTCCTTTGAAACTCGGTAGAAGGTGTCAGCTTTTCCACAAAGGTGGCCCCAGAAGGGAACAGCCTCACGATGCAGAAGTGTTTGTGGTAGCAGCCGTCTGTCCCTGGGAAAATGGCTTGGCATTGTTAGCTGATCTTTGTAAGGAGGTTCTGTTTGGTTTTGGTTTTGAAAAGGGACGGATGTCCCAAAATAACAAAAATAATAAAAACAAGCTCCCATTAACGTCCATCAGAACTTTAAAAAGCTCTGACATTTCATTTATATTAAGACCTCTTTGCCCCTCTCTGGCACATAATTTACAAGCAGGCTCCAAATCTTCGAGAACGTAAGCAGACTTTTCTGTCCCGGCGACACACTCAGTGAAGAAAGCGCCAGAAAAGAAAACAACTCGAGGAAATGAACTCAGATGTTCGAACTGCTCAGCATCCCTGGATAAGTCCCCCCGATTTTCCCAAGCTTCCCCGGGCACAGGCCAGGGAAAGTCCCCATTCCTAGTTGCAGCCGTGGGCATCAGTTTTATTTTGCCGTAGCTTGTGATGAGAGGCCCTGAGCAGAAGAGCCGGCCCGCTGCGCCTCCCAACGCCTTCCCTGGAGGCCGCGCTAGGCCGGCTGGAACCACCGGCGCCATCTTCACCAGGCTGGGAGCCAACGCGAACAAGGGCGCTAGCCTGGGTAGCAGGCTAAGAAAGCCCCTGAAAAATGCCATGCATTGCACTTAGTTTCAGAAATATACGGATGCTATGCGAATCTCAAATCCGCCTTTATTTACGGAAAATATTTACACATCAAGTAAGACAATTTCACAACTTTAAAATGTATTTTCCTGTTAAGCTTTTCATATGCGAACCACACTACAAGTAAACATTTTTGTTGTCTCCACTACATGAATGTGGCTAAAAGCTTCCTTGTTATTTTATAGTTGCAGCATTTCAAATGTATCCTTTTTTTGACGTGGTTAGGCATTCTGCCAGTTTTACCACTAAATTATAGCAGAGAAAACCCTCAGTCAAATTTGATTATTCTTCCTTCTCCTCATGAGTAAGGCAAAGCAAGTTTATGTTCAAAATACAAGTTCGTTCTAAAGAATTGTATGTAAGATCCATATTTATAGTGTCAAAATGCATGTGAGTTTTGTAGTTGAAAGTGTTTGTAGTGTTGCTTTATATTACTGATGTTTTTTGTTCAGTCTTGTCACTATCATCTGCCTAATGACTGAGAATCATTAGAACAGAAGTTGTGAATTCAGAGGATTGATGGTGAAAAGGTCTTCCCCTCTTCTATTAATAAGCCACTACATTAATGAAGTAACAATTTAGGAAAGGGCTAATCTTAGACAATTTTAAGCATTTAGATGTGGGGTCCAGTTTAGAAATGCATTAAGTATAGGCTGCTTTTTTAGGGGAGGCGCTGCATATAACTGACTTCTGCGTGGGCACTTTGTGGCAGGTGTCATAGGACTGATTTGTCCACATCAGGGATTCAGTTGCTGAGTGTTTTGACTCTTCTCTGGCCAGCAGGTTGGGCTCCCTTTTTGTAGCAATGAGGGCAGAGAGGGAAGAGGAGATGGTGCATGCCTGGTTTTGACCCTGCTGGAACATGGGATGAAACTGCAGCTGGAACTGAGAGTTCAAAAACATTCTCACATAAACATAGCGTCATCCAAAGATTTTCAGGTGGGCTGAATTGCCCCTTATGTCCATTGCTTGATCTGGACTCAAATAAGTCTTATTATCTCCTAGCGCTTGTTCTCCCTTAGCTGCTGTCTCAAACTGGTATGTTGGCTATTTGGTCAATTATGGGTACTAGTAACCAAGAACCCCTTTCTCCACAGGTTTTTGAAAGACTGTATGCAGTGACTTCATGATTTCCATCTATTACGGATTTTGTAGTCATTTGCATGAACAATTCACTCAGTGTATAATCATTATAATTGTGACATGAGAATGAGTTTGCTTATCTTATAGTTTTCACTAAATAACACGGTTTTAGTAAAACATTTAGCAACACATTTATAGCATTTAGGGGCAGAAGAGACCACTGTGAGCCATTGTTAAATAACATGCACCAAGGAAGGCTTTCAATCTAAACAGAAGGCCATTCTGGTGACCTTTTCAGCTGAAGCATATGTTAAAAAAAAAAAAAAAAAAAAAGAAAGTTATGGTGGATATAACTACTTGAAAAGCCCCCATTCTGAGAGGCAAGAACAGGCTGCAATCTCCTGTATCCTGTAAATCTACTGCGTAGAAACAGCAAGATTCAAAATCTGGCATTTTAAGTCCAATGCATTTCAGAAGAGATCTTTAAAAAAACAAACACTTGTTGCTGCTTTTAACGTATGCTTTTGGCATTCAAGTGATCTGAAACATCTATTCATACTTCCATCTCCTACTGTCAGGAGTTAAATGAGTAACTTTAATGAATGTAACGATTTAATTGTTTACTATATATAGATGTGACATTAAACAAATCTTTAAAATCTTATGTGCGAGAATGCACCTAATAATTAACAGAGTTTAATAAATGTAACCATGATGTATGTGATTCAGTTAATTAGAGAAAAAAGTTCTGTAAAACATGAGTAGTTGATGGAAAGGAATTTTATCAGGATTAGCTAGTGTGTCAGGTTAAAAGAAAACAGTGTAGGAGGAAGAGTGGTCCCACGTTTTTCTTGAAATAAAAAGCATGAAAATCCGTGGTGGATTTTCAAGTTTAAAAAGAATTTTACTTTATTTTAGAAAACGTTTGCCAAGACATCAGGGGGCTGCACAAATGGTAAAAACAGGTTTGTTTCTCAGAGTCTAGTGAGTCAACAAGCCACTCTAGCTTAATTATTCTGTGTATAGAGGTAGTGCATATAGCAGAGTATGGATTTTTTTTTCGTTCATTGTAAATGGCTTTTATAATGGCCAAGTCGAAGCCCATCAGTATCAGTCTGAACATTCCTATTATTATCGTGAGCTTCCATTCTGACTAAGAGCCTGATCCAAAGCAAATGTAGGTTGCTGAAAATACTGTTACAACTGAAAGGGCATAAGGACCTAAACAAGCTGTTACGAAATTAAATAGTCTCCCTCTGTTTAAAACCCCTTTCTTGACATTTCTGATAAGTTTGACAGCACCTTGGTCTTTGGAGAACTTTCATTGAGCAAATGATGAATTTAAATCTAAACTTCTAAATGGTGATTGTTACTGCCTTGAATGATAAAAAGGTATCCAGCCTGTAAATAAGAAAAATATGACATTATCAGAGGAAGGAGCACAGAAGTGTTGTGCATGATTACAGATTTATTTAAGTAGGATGGCACAACACCCTTGTAACTTATAATTTGTAAACAAATAAAACAATGTAATTAATTTATTTTTTATCATAATGCATCATTGGTAAATGTGACCTCCAAGGGTCTATATTTTGGGTTGAAATAATCACTTATTCTCTTGGAATAGAACCTCTATGGGGAGTGATTTACTGTCCCCTAACAACCCCAGTTCTGTAAGTATTCACAAAGACGTTTCTATTGAAATAAATGGGATTTTTCATGGGATGTAAGTTAGGATGGCTCTTACCTGTAAGAGTTTTCACAAGGACATGAGGACATAATTTATTGATCCACTTAAAAAAATGTCAGTGCCCCACAAGCCTCGTGACCTGAGCAATTCTAATATACTGGAAAGGGAGAGAATGAAATAGAAAAGTAATCCGTTTCTGCTCCTGCTGTGAGACCATGATAAAAAAAATGACACTGCAGGAGAAGGGAGAGTTTCTCGCTGAAGATACAGTCAAGCTAGATAATCTTCAGAGTGCTTAATGTACTTGTATGTCATGTTTCAAAGCAGGGGAACTCGCAGCAGATACGAACCAAAGAATATTACTTGTAGTGGGGTATGTTCTGGTCTGTTGCAGTCTTTTGCTACAACAAAATTAAGCATCAAGGTTGTGTCCTTGCTATAATGTTAACCCCAGTGCACAGACTCTCTGATCGTGCTCTGCCAACATGCAGGTTTGAGGCTGGACTTAACCAGCTGCTTCCCTGCGTGGGGAGACTGAGGGCCCGGGGTGGACTGACCCTCCTTTGAGTTCTGCTCTTAACCAGGGAAGAGCACATAGCTGTTCCAGCCTGGGATTCCCCGTGCCTCTGAAACTTGGGCATGGTGTACGAGGATGACTGTGGTCCTTATCCTTCTCAGACATCTGCTTGGTACTTTCTGGTGTTTGAAACAGCACTAATAAGGATGCCAGCCCCATTATATGTTCCCAAACTACAAAGGAAAGAGCCCCCAGGAGTCTAATAACAGTGGGATTACAAACAGATTGGTATAATTCCACAAAACATACAAGCTATAAATACCACTTACTTATTGTAAAGGAAAAATATGAAAAGCAGTCACAAGGCAATTATTTATTTGCTTTCTGTTTATATGTACTTCTTGTTCCCTTTGTGACCTTGACATGGTGATATCTAAATAGCTTGACCTATAGCACAGAGATGCACGTGAAGAGGAAGAAATCAGAATATTCACACTATGCCAAGATCTTCACAGGTTGATCATCCCTTGCTACTTATGTTTAAGCAATAAAGAGAGAGGTATAGAACATTTCCTCCAGATTAATAACTGTTAAGGAGGAGTTAATGGCCTGAGGTGCAGCTGAGGGCCATTAATCCCAGCTGGTCATTAATCCTCATTAAAAAAATCTGGGTAACTCAGATCACCAAACACAAGGAAGGACAAACTGATGTTTTAAGTACCTTTGTGTTTTCCTGTCTTTGTTTGCTTTTTTAAATGAGTTCTGTTTTAATCTATAGTACTTTTTTGAGGATAAATTTTGCTTTTGTTATCCCAGCAGAGGTTCTGTTCAAGCAGGTGGTTTATAAGAGCAGCAGCTGTGTAAAAAAATCACACAGTTTAGAGCTTTAAGTGCTAACAGGAGTTTGTAGTACTGTAGCAGCAGCCTAACAAGCATTTTAAAAAATGAAAAATACAACATTTTGGTTATTCCAGCACTGAAAGAAATGAAAAAAGATGTAAGTAACAAACTTCACAGGATACTGTTTTCAAAAACTTGATTTAAAAAAAAAAAAAAAAAAAAGAAAAACATTGAACCACAGTGTTGTCTATTGCCTACTGGAAATATTTTACGGGGAGGACATGTTGTTCTTCCAGTTTTGAAACTATTATGTTGGGTTTTTTTGGGTTTTTTTTTGTTTGTTTTTTATTGTGGTTCTAAAAAATAGTCTTTCCTAATAATAATGTTCTGATGCATGAAATACCTCCTCATTCTGTAAGTCATATACATAGACTCAAAAAGACAGGTACTGGAATTTTTGTCTTTTTTTTTTTTTTTCTTTCTTTTTCCTTGTCTGGTGATGAGCATTAAGAATATTTGCTTTTTGTAACTATTCTGGAGGTTAGTTTGGTTTTTGAAATCACATCTTTCTGTGTTATGCTAGCTATTTCAGAGAAAGTTAACCAGATGCTAGGGAGAGAGTAGAACTCTCAGCATGGTATTTAATATAGAATTTTTCAGATGTTCCATTACTTCTGGTTATTCCAAACTCTGATTACTGTAGTAAAACATGGAACTGTAACAATATATGAGAGATGAGAGGTCTGAATGCATGGGATATGCTACTTCTAGAAATACCATTTGTTTATAATTTTTACCAAGGCTGTAGGAAACAGAAGCCAGGCTTGTTTTGTCTTTTATGTGGAGGAGATCAGTGGTCTGGTGAAGAAGACCTCTGCAGTCTGCACCACCTTGGAAACTGCTCTGAGCCTGACACCTCAAATCGTGTCAGTGCTATTGCCCTTCCTCCCAAGTACACTAGTGTGTGAGGAACATGCTTATGAAAGTGGCAGAAACTCTATGTGAAATACCTCCATTGGAGTAGCAGGTCTTTGAATATGATCATGAAAGCGATTTATCAGTGCAACCCTGTCTTTTCCTCAGCAATGTATATGTCGGCTATACTCTTCTGCATGCTTAAGAAAAGTCATACCCTCATGTTAAGCTGAACCCTCATGTTAAAATGAAGCTCCCTTGCACTCAGTGAGTGGTAGTTCACTGACTGCAGTTTTGCTTATGGGAGACTTCTGAATCGCAGAATGGTTAAGGTTGGAAGGGACCTTTAGATCATCTAGCCCAACCCCCCTGCACACAGAGGGTCACCTATTGCATGTGGCACAGGGCTGTGTCCGAGTGAGTTGCTATTTTACTGTGTCTGCTGAGGCATATAGAAAAGGGTAGTGTCCTTCTGAGCATGAATACCCGTTGAGCTTCTACCAGTTAGCTCAAATTGTCTTGAATTCAACTGACAGATGTCAACATGGGTTAAAGTAAATAATTTGAGTTTGGAGGAGGAGGAGGGAAGGAGTTGAAGGAGAACGCAGAGGTTGTGCTTTGCCAAACATATTGGCCAAAAAATAATTAAACCCTTCCTTTCGTGTAAGTAGTCCTTCAGCATCCCTGTCCAAGGTTTCAAGTCCCGTGAGAGGTACCAGTTTACTTCTCCACAGCCTTTCCCTCATTTATCATTCATTGGTCCATATTCTGAGGAAGTCACTTTCAATTTGTCTTTATTTTGGTAAGACTGTATCATGGCCTTCAGCTTCTTTCACATCTTGTAAAAGGCTTTCCTCTTAGAGGATCTCTCAGCAACTTGTCACCTTTGCACTATAGAATGTTCTTTCTTTTCTCATTGTCCCTCTGGTGGATGCCTGTGTTTCTTCTGCGAAGGTCTTCATCTAAGACCACAGCCTCTTAAGTTCTCTGTTGTGTTCAGTTTTAAAATGGCTATAGCCACAAAATCATGAGTTATGTGTGTTATTTTTCTTTTATTTTTTTTTCCTCTTCACCCTAAATCTGTGGCTTGAAGCAGGGAGTGTTCTATTTGACTTATGGGTTAACAGCTTGTATGTTTTTTTTCTCTGTTTTGTTTTCAGAAGCTTTTTTGTTTTCAATATTTATTTTAATTATGATGCTTTCTTTTTTAAAAATTTGCCCTGTTGCTGAGTGGCCATTAATTTACCGCAAAGCCTTCTTTAATAGTAGAAACGTTTATCTCCCAGGTATGAAACACATATTCAGTTGACTTATGGCTTATCATCCTTTACTTTTTCCGTCTTGTTATCTCTTCCTTTATAGCAATTCTAAGAATGCTTTTTACTGCTCGTGCGTCTTTGTGCTGAGTCACAGCCTTGCGCTTCATGTTCTGATTATAAAACATTGATGTCATTGTGGGTTTCTGCCTCGTGTTCCCCCCGTTCCTCTTCTCTTCAGTTGCAGTTTTTGAGTCAGGAAGAGGTGAAGAATCATGTTAAGGCAGGGGTACTTGCTGTTTTCTTGTGCTATCTTGGCGCTGCTGCCCAGAAACTCTGACATCGGTGGCAATACTCTAGGTTTATGCTTTTATGAACAAGGAGGGAAACAGAACCAATATGTTTTTGCCTAGTTAAATGCTTTAACGTGATATTTCAGTGCCCCAGACAAGCTTAAATATCCCTACTTGTTGTAGTTTAGATTTATTTCCAAATTTCTTGGAGTACGTATGGCTCAGCTCTACTTTGTTCTTAGTGCTTGTGCTGCTGCTTTTTATTCCATCAAGTGAAAGAACTGTACAGTGGTTACAAGAACACTTTACCTCCTGTTTCCACAATAGTGAGTTTTGTTGGCAATCTTAAAACTATATGATTCACTGTCAATTAAATGGGTGACATACCTCGGCTTTTTCTTAATCCCCATTATTGGGTGGCTCCTCATAGGATGCTGTTTGCAGAGATTTATTTCCTTTTCTGGTCAGCATAGAAAAACACGCAGAAAATCACAGCCCTAGAAGAGCTGTTACAGAGTGTGGCCTAGCAGCTAGAGACCGTAAACAAATGAGACTGGACGTTGTTGTTGAAGTTACCTGGTCAAGCCCAGAGCGTTTTTGCAGTGCTTTCAGTTCAGCAGATGTGAGGCAGGCCTAAGTGAACTGCTCTGTGTGTGGGGCCAGCAGTGTTGACCTGGCAGCTCAGTTGTTGATCCAGCTAAGGATGTTGCAAGCCTCCTGTTACTGTTCCTGTAACACTGTTTGTTAAGACCCCAAAGTTTATTTATCACTGCCTTAAGCTCTGGGGTTGGATAGTTGCAATAGAAGTTCCACACTTTCTGCTTTTATGTCTTTATCTGAATACCAAATGCCTGCTCTCATTGCTTAAACCCAATGGTTTTTGCATAGTAGGCTTGGCCTTGCCTCTGTAGAAGGGAGTCTGAAGACTCTGAGAGGCCGGGTTAGAGCCAAGGCTCTTGGAGGCAGGATGTGGAGGGACTCAAGAAAAATGTATGTATAAAACAAACTTTGAGGAGAGACAGAGAGAACTAGGACTGGTGCATGTGTTGCAGAAGGTGGTTTGAAAAAGAATTGTTATTTGGTGATGGTAACAAGTTCAAAAGCAGATTTTCTGTTTTTTTTTTTTTTTTTTTTTTTTGAGAATGCTTTATGCAACTAACCTGACATTAATTTGTACCTTAAAAACATATTTCTCCCATGAAATTTCTTGAAAAATTAAAGACTCTGTTCTAACCTATTTCAGCATAAATCCAGAGCCCATAGAAGTCAGGGGAGTTACTGTCATGTGAAACTATTGTGAGATCATAACATGGTCCAAAATGTTGTAAATATTAGAAGACATTAATGTATTTTGATTATAATTCCAGTCACTGGTTATAAGCCTCATGAAATGAACTGCCTCATTTATAATGCATACCATGGGACACCATCTAATTTGGTGACAAGGATAGAGTCTAGCAAAGATTCAATAGAAGTATATGCATAAATTACTATGTTGTCATCTAATTAAATGTATTTTCTAAATCCTTGTTCTTGAATATACCTGTTATTAAATTGAATTTTTATACCTTCAAAATATTCTGGTAAATAAATGTCCTTTTCTCTATAGTCTATGCAAGGTTAGTATTTATTTTAAAGTGTATTTTTTTTTGTGTGTGAGAAAGATAAGAAAATCAACATACCCTGTTATCACTCTTCAGTTTTGAAACAACGAAGTGAGGGCTATCCTTGGGAGTAATTGATATTCCTGTACAGGTTGAAACTGATATCCAAACAGATAAGCAGAATGCTTCTACTCCGTGCTTTAGCTAAAAAAAAAAAAAAAAAAAAAAACCTAAGCCAATGATTGTTTAATATTGTCTCCAATTTGAGACTAGATCTTTGAACCTTTTTAATGATTTACCTGGTCTGTTCTAAAAGCCCAGGACCTATGTAGATTTTAGTCATGCAAGTAGAATAGCAAAGTATGAAAGTGATGCCATCTAAATTAAGTGTTGTCTACTAAATGATCACAAGGATGGATATATACATATAGGCTCAGTTGCACATGATCATTTGTCACTAAAATGACAACTATACCTTGAATAACATGCACTAAAATTGCATTGCTTGTCTAGCTGAGCTTGTTAACAGTTTCACAGTCTGATGGAGGAACTTGTAATGAAACCTTGGTTTCCACAGATCACTATCGGGTCACCATGACTAGAGAGTATAAGGATCACTTGAATATCGTTGGGAGGTAGTAGAGTACAAATTGTCTGAAGCAAAGGCTGCAAAAATACAGATCTGTATTTTTGCTTATTTCCTAGGCTTTTGGAAATTAGTTCTGGTTTGAAATCGCGTTTGTATAAAATGACATGCATTAAATCTCACCTTCTATGTAGTCTTGATTGTGGTTGGTGGCCTAAGTGTGAGGTGTCTGCTCTGTTGCAACTTCAGTATTAAATGTGACTGACCAAGGGCGAGCAAGCTGTGGGGTTCACTCCGTGTTTACATCTCAAGGCAGGTTGCCCTGTTCCAGCCTATTTTACCCATGGAAATTCGTTAGGGATAGAACAATTATACTGATGTTATCCAGAAATTATTCTGAGGGTACTAGATCAGTAGAGGTGTGACAAGCATGCCTTTTTTCTACTTTCTTATGACTCTTTGCAAGATTGGAGAATTTTCCCTAAGTAGACGTGCAAAGTTTG